ATCTAAATAAATGACAAGGCTTTGCAGAGTTCTCTAAAAACAGGTCCAGTAAAATGAGTGCCTCTGTTACTGGAGATCCTCATATTGGGAACACAAAATCAAGTAATTTTTTTCCTACTCTCATAATTATAGCTCTCTCTCAAGAAAAAGTTTTAATCCATCCAGAGAAGTAGCAAGCAATGATCAGAACATATTCAGAACCCACTGTAGGGGGTTATTTTAGGAAGTCCATTTGGACATGTTCAGTGGGGTCCTGAAGCTTGGATTTACAAGGATAACAGTTTTACTAGGATTGTGAGGGAGACAGATGAGATTTGCACCAGAGACATCCTCAAAAATCTTAGTAAAATTTCCCCACCAATGCTAATTGAATATCGTTTTCAATATATCCTTGCTCTGATGGGTAATTCCTTGTAAAATATGTTTGCAGAGTTTCGTCAAGGTTCTCTGGTGCCACCAAGTGTCTGTCCTGAAAGTGCCAGGGATTCTCTTGTACTTTACAACCATGTATTCTTTTCAGATTTTGGAGCCAGTTGTGGGCATTCCAAAATAGGATTTTTTAATCTCCAGAAAGATTTAGCTTTTTAGAGTATTATGGGGCCAGGACCTGATTGAGAGCTGCCTGTGTGTCATAAAGATAAACCTAGGATATTTCTTTTAGCCTTTGTTATCCCTTAATAGTGTGGCTTCATGATAGCCACCTCCTTAGGAAGCATTAGAGTACTTAAAAGTACTTAAAACTGTTGTTCATTTTACATTGGGATTCCTATTAAGGTTGGAAACTCTCATTGTTTCTACAGTGTTACAAAATCATGGACTACTCTAAAAGGTATACCTAATATTAGTTTTTTGTTAACTCTCTTACCTCTTGACAATTGGCAAGCTCTGCTGAGAGGGTAAGTACTGTCATCAGGACTGGTTTTACTTCTGGTAAGGAGTCACGTTTTAGGGGTCAGTTGAGACTGTTCCAGTATATCTTGCCTTAGTTCCCATTTCAGTTATAAAAAATGATATATCAACAAATAATATTAAACCTAGATTTTCTAGGAGGAGTTTCTAATAAATCCATTTGAGGCATAGTCATTGTTTGGACAGAGGTTAGATCTCATGGAATTCCCCTTCTTTGGGTAATGGGAAAAGAGTAGCAATCTTTAAAGTATAGCACTGAGTTGAAATGTGTGAGGGAGAAAATAATAAAAAGTTCATAGGATGTAAGCCTGCTTGCCAAGAAGTGTGTTTTCAGTAGCATCCAGGATTGTACAGCATACAGAACCATCAAATTTAAACAAGATCCTTAAACCAAGTCAGTAGAGGCCTCTACTAGTTTGGCTGCTGCTTATTACTATCCTTAGATAAGGAGTAGGATTTTCCCCTCACTCGGTTGAGGGGAAGATTGTAGTAAGCAACTGGGCCCTGATGATACCTGTGGTGTTCTGTTAGAGTATTAAGGACTTGTCTACATTGCTCAGATACAAATAGATAGAAAGCTTTATGACAATTTGGAGGACCCCAATTGCGGGGGTGCGAGGGGGGGCTGTTGAGAGTTATTTTTAAATCACAAAATTCTTGTCCGTGTTTAAGTTCCTAAGGGAAAGGTTCCATTGTTGAGGACTTAAATTGTATAGAAATGTGTCAATTTCAGAGATGTCTGGAACCCAGTGTCTACAGTAGCCAGTGAAATCTAGACAACTTCTTAATTTTCTCTTAGTAACCAGCCTTGGAAAGTATTGAAGGGCTCATAATTTATCAGGAATAATAGATTTACCCCCTTGGGATAAATTATACCCTAAATAATGCACTTTATTCTTACAAAATACTAAACTTTTTTTGGAATTCTCATGTCCTTTCTGAGCTAAAACAGTACATAGATAAATGGAGTCAGTCTTAGAGCTCTCTTCATCTTTAGAACATAATGAAAGCTTGCCCACATATTGTGTAAGTGTAGAGTTGACAGGGAGGTTTAAGGTCCCTAAGTTCCTCAGTATACCACTGAGGCATAACTGTCCAGGTAAATTGTTGACTCTTGCAGGACAGAACAAACAGGTAAAACTATTTTGATCTAAAGGGACGCCATAGAAAGCAGAACACAGATAAATATATAGTAGTAAAGTATGTAGAGTCAGGTGGCACTGAAGATAAAATAGTATCTGGGCTCAATGAATTGGGGAAATTGATATTTTATTTATGGCCTTAAGGTCTTAAACAAATCTTCACCCATTGGGTTTTTGACTGGAGAACAAGTCAAAATTTTAAAACTGGTATAGTTATGATTGATTCATCCTTTCTTTATTAGGCTTTAGGACAATTGACTTTAGTTCTTCTTCGTTTCTGGTTTTAGAGGTATTATATAAAGTTAAGTAGAGGTTTAGATGGGTCAATCTGAACCCTGGTACCAACATCAGTTAAGACATTTTGCCCACAAAGAGTCCACTTCATGGAGATCTTTAATTTGGTTCCATGGTACACACAGGTACCTAAGTCAATATCCAAATAAGCTATGATCTGATTGTGAACAGAATCCCCAGGAATCTTAAAAACAAAAACAAAAAAACCCAAAAAAACTCCTCCTCCAAAAAAACAGGAGTTTAATTTTTCAATTCTATTTGCATAGTAGATTGCTATCTCTTAAGTTAATGGGTGTGGCGTCATAAAGGAGAAAATAAAATTCCTCACTTGAGAATCCAAGGATAACGGTTATGGGCTAAAACAGGGCGAGTACCTTTGGATTATTAGAGATACACCCTATTTGAGTAGCTCATTGACCCTGAGGGAAAGGTTATGTGATGTTGCCAGAGTTTATGGTATGAATAAAATTTCCAGGTTTCTTTTAATATCTAGAGAAATTGCTCTTTGCAAGTTTGAGGAATAAATGGGAAGTTGGGTGTGTGTCAGAGCAGTGACATTGATTTGCCCACCTGATCTTTTTTCCCTTCATTTTCTTAGCTAGTTCAGGATGTTTTTTTTCCCCAGTGTCTTTTCTGCTTATAATAAGTATCTACAGGTGTCTTTACCATGAGACTCACTCTTCTCATGCTTGATGACAGGAGTGGGAGTATTAAATTGTTTTATCTGTAAGGGTACCAGTTTATTCTTTTGTTCTAAGGCTTTTTGAAGATCTGAATTTGGAGATCTAGTAATGGGGCTGTTTCCCATTCCAGTTTTTGTTGCATATTAAATCTATTTCTAGATTTACGGCTGTTCACAAAAAATGAGGAGAGAGCTGGAGTTCATATTTACTTCAGAATCTGCTCCTCAAAGGATTTATCCCTGAAGTGTCCTATAAATTCATTCTTTCCTTGTTTGCAGGAGTAGAGTCTAATATATTTTTATAAGAAAACTAGGCAATATCCTCTGAAAAATTTCGTCCAATATCTACAGCTTTTCTAAATGTCTGGTTTCCGGAGAATTCCCTGACAGTCCAGTGGTTAGGACTCGGTGCTTTCACTGCCAGGGCCCGGCTTCATTCCCTGGTCAGGGAACTAAAATCCTGCAAGCTGCGTGGCGTGGCCAAAAATTTAAAAATTAAAAAAAAAAATGTCTGTTTTCCTATGCAGTTTGGGATTTCCTAAGTCATTCTTGGGATCTTCTCACTTTGCCTTTTCTGTTCTTTTTTTTTTGCTTTTGAGCATATGAATCAATTGATACAAACCTTGGAACTGGCAGTATTATTTTTCAAAATTAGTTATGGGAATTAAAATATTTTAAAGTAATTGCTAACTTCAGGGAAAATAAAAGTTATATATATAGAAATGTAATCATGGGACTTCCCTGGTGGCGCAGTGGTTAAGAATCTGCCTGCCAATGCAGGGGACACAGTTCAAACCTGGGTCCAGGAAGAGTAGCCCTCACTCGCTGCAACTAGAGAAAGCCCACACGCAGCAACAAAGACCCAACGCAGCCAAAAATAAATAAATAAATAAATAAAATTTTTAAAAAGAAATGTAATCATGATATACCATATGGCTTAGCATTGAATAAAAATTGCAGTTATAAGAGTATAAATACTGACTGTTGATTTAAGCCACAATTTTTATGTAACTGTTGGAAGAATAGACGGAGGACATGTAGGATTATGGTTATACAAGAAAGCTATCATATAGGAGGTCAGTAGATAAATTTTTTAAGTTGTAGAATCATGGGGTAAAATAACAGAAGCATTTGAAAGTGGTTGCCAGTTTTAGCTCTAAGTTTTTAAATTATGAGAATTATTTGATAAAGATAGAAGAAAAAAATTCATCTTGAATCTAAAGGACAGGACACACAACTTGTACCAAAAAAAGGTGGAGGGGAAAGAAATGGAATTGTATACATGGATTTTTTTCCAAAAATGCCTTGTGGGGCTTCCCTGGTGGTGCAGTGGTTGAGAGTCCGCCTGCCGATGCAGGGGACACGGGTTCGTGCCCTGGTCTGGGAAGATCCCACATGCCGCGGAGCGGCTGGGCCCGTGAGCCATGGCCGCTGAGCCTGTGCGTCCGGAGCCTGTGCTCCGCAATGGGAGAGGCCACAACAGTGAGAGGTCCGCGTACCGCAAAAAAAAAAAAAAAAAAAAAAAAAAAAGCCTTGTGGTAGTTTTGGTTTTGTAAAAAATTATTTCAGTGAATTTAAAGAATCATATGTTACCATGTAAACATTTGTGCTTAGATAATAAAATTGGTTTTTTTGAAACTGTAATAAGACTATAGTCTGCTTGTATATTAGACTTAATTTTAATAACTTTTTATGAAAGACATTTTCTTGAAGAAAACTTTAAAGTAAGCTGTATTCAGAGTTTAAAATTTTAGAGAGCAATATGTTTTATCATGATGAAGCAACTGGAAGCAAAATTATTGTATGCTGAGTCCATGACAGTTAAAAAAATCATAAAATTGTCATAAGTTACATTTTAAGAGCATAAAATAATATGTGCAATGAATATATTTAACTTTAATTTGTGAACCCAATTAAAATTTAAAACTGAAAGTGGCTAGAATCTGTTTTAACTTTTCATGATTTTAAAATAGGAAACTCTTCAGAATCAAAAGGAAACATTAACAAAGCAACACAAAGAAGCAATGGCAGTTTTTAAAAAGCAGGTAATTTCATAAGGATAGACAAACATTACAGTTTTAAATATTGCACTTTTCCCACTTCTCATGAATATTATGACAGGTTGTTCTCCATACTCACTGAGGACAAAAAGGTTATTATTGGAAGCAGGAAATAAAATTATTTTGAATCACAACTGATAATAATGTAATGTAGTAGAATGATTTAGTTAAGGAAAGAAATTAGGAATACTATTTTCTTGGAGATGTGTTTTCATTGGGCCTAAATAAAATATGTTAGTGTGTGTTCTTGCTCTTTCTCTCCCTTCTCCCTTTTCTGTCTTTAATTAGCATATCCTAGGAGCTTACCTTTTCCACATTACTCCTTTACCCAAGCTAACATTATAACACTTGTGAAAAGCTGAAATGCAAGTAGGGAGATGTAAAGGATGAAGAGATGTGATTATCATGTACCTCCATAAATATTAACTACTAACAACTAAGAAAGATCAGTAGAAGAATTGAAAAAAAATATTTTAAAGAAATGAAGAACAACTCCTTCTGTTATTTTGAATTCTATAGCTCTTCTTTACTACCTCACATTTCTCTTCAGTCCCTAATTATAAAATAGAAGTGTAAGAAATGTGCCTATGGAAAATATACTCTGGAAGTGCTTTTCCTTATAGCCATGCCAACATCACCATTTTTTTTTCCTTTTTCCTTCCCCCTTTTTTGTTTTTATCTCCATACAAGTGTGTGTGTTCAGAGAGAAATGCATAAAAAGAAATAAACCTATATAACCTAATCACTAGTGGGTTAAGGTTATTGGTAATTTACACTGTAGTGTGGATTTGTTTAAGCAGATGATAAACTTCCCTATAGTCTGAAATTGGCTTTACCTAAGTTATGGGAGTTTTAATTGAAGGGTGAGGAAGCAGAAACCAAATGTACAGCATAGTATTCTTTAGGAGAGAGCAGTTCTATGTCTCTGTTACCACAAGGGACTCTGGGCAAGAAGAAATATTCAGGTAATTGAAGGGTAGAGGAGAAAGTGCTATTGGGTTCTTTTTTAATTTCTTTTCTTCTTTTCTTTCTCTTTAAGAAAAAGGATTCTTGAAGGTAAATGAGGAATATGGAAAATGAGATGGAGAAATTTCAAAGAAAAATTTTATTTCTTGACAACTTTGCCTAGTATCCTTGTGTTGCTTGGAATATTTAATTAGTTTCCTTTGGCAAGTTCACCTTAGTTTTTCTGTTTTAAAATGTCATTATTTATTTATTAGACTAACACATGCATTTAAAAAAAATTTCAGAGAATACTGTCAGTGCAAATACAAATGATACCAATTTTATAAAAGTATGCCTTCAGAAAATGTTATATGTTATTGTTTATGAGTAGATGGCAAAATATTGAAACATTAAAAAAAAACTGGAGGGAAAAACTAAACTTTCAAGGATGATTGGTGCTCTGATCGTGAGATTAAATTGTTCATTTTCTTTGGTGACTATCTTTTTTCCCCCTTTTATACCTTTTATTATTTATTTTCTCAGTGTAAAAGTAGCATAATCACATTGTACTAAGTTCAAACAATATAGACGTGTAAAACATTTCTGTAGTCTCACTGACCAGTGTAAATCACTGGTAACATTTCACTTACCTGTATTTTAATTTTTAAAATTCTTTATCAGTTGCAAATGAAGATGTGTGCCTTGGAAGAAGAAAAGGTATATATTAATTTTTTAATAATTTGAAACATAGCTTAAATGCATTTAATTATCAGTTGTTCACCATAATGGAAAGGAGCATTGGTAATAAACAAATGGAGACTGTTAATTTCTTAAAATTTTAGAAACAGAAAGGACCTAAGGGAATCGTGTTACTTGAGCTGTTATCATTTTACAGTTGAGAGTACTGAAGCCTAGTAAGATATAAATGACTTGCTGAAGTGGCAAAGCTGGGACTAGAACCTAGATTTCTTCAGCCCCTAAATTAATGCTCTTTCCACTATCGGCAGTGTTTCTATTAAGTATAATATATTTTTAGTGCCTTTTCAATGAAATTACCTTCTTTAAAAAACAGTAAGATGATTTGCATCTGCATGCAGACCAACAGGAAAAGAGTATACAACTCTGAACAATGCTAGAAATTCATGTGGCATTAAATGTTTTCTCTAGCTATTCAATAGTTCATACATGTTTTTATTATATCAAAGGACATGTCATTTATAATATTAAAACTTAGAGTTATTTTTAGCAAAAGACTTTCTTTTAAAATTTTTCTCATATCCTTATATTTATAAAACAAATGTACTTGTATCTTATTGATTAGAATATATTTATTCTAGCCATATGAATTAAATAATTATATAGTATCCATAAGTTCTCAGGAATGCTCTACTGATAAAATGGTTTATTGTTATAATGAGATTTTCCATTTCATGATATTTGTAACCTTGTATAGACCTTATTGTAATTTTATGATATCTTGAAGTCATTAGAAATACAACTTGTAGTACAGATACATGATTAAATTCTGTGAAGTATTAGGTTGCAAGTAGAGATTTTGGTTCTTGAACTCTTGTTTTCCCTGTTAATAATGTCACTTACATTGGAAAGTACTGAAATATAGTTTTTTACTTGAAGGGAAAATATCAACTTGCTACAGAAATAAAAGAAAAAGAAATAGAAGGATTGAAGGAAACATTAAAGGCATTACAGGTAAAGTAACTTAGTATTGCTTGAAAAGTAATTTGGTAGTTTAGCATTGTATCAGTAAAATGCTGTAAACATGTAGTGTAGCAAAGTGAAGCTGAAAAAAATTCATATATCATATATAATTTAGTACTTTTTCCTGAGAGCCTTGGATTTCAAATTAGTAGGATTTTTGCTTTATCTTTTATTTTAAAAGGAAATATTAATATAACTTTCATTATTTCTCACAGTAATATAATTAGATATATGTTATTTTTAGCACTTTATAGATGACAAAAGCAAGTTAGGCCTATGTATTATAACTGATTTATCCATGGTCCTTAAAAATTAACATAAAATAGCATTTATTGTTATTATTATTTGCTAAGTACTATGCTTATTTTCTACAAATACAAAGATGAAGGAAACATCACTTTGCCTTTAAGTCATTCAGTCTCATACAGAGGTATGAGGTATACAACAGAATACAGAGGTATACAACAGATGATGAATCATTCAATACATATTTATGAAGGTCTACTATGTGCCAAACCCTGATCTAAGCACTGGGAATACAGCTGTGAGTAAAAGGGTCAAAAACCTCTGCCCTTGTGGAGTTTACATTCTAATGGGGAAGACAAACAATAGAAAGAGATAAAAAGTAAAATAGAGATTGTTGGGGGAAAAGATATTCACATGATTTCAGAGTATCACCCTATAGATAATATTAATTACAAAGAGCAAAGTAATTATTTTACAGTGGAAGGATCTTGATGATTACTACCTGAATCAGGTAATTCACACTGTAGTGTGGATTTATTTAAGCAGTTGACAAGCTTTCTTCCTTTAGTCTGATTACAGTAGTACAAGGATTCCTTTTCTCCACATCTTTACTAGCACTTATCTCTTGTCTTTTTGATCACAGCCATTCTGATAGGTGTGAGGTAATCTTATTGTGAGTTTGATTTGCATTTCCCTGATTATTAGTGATGTTGAGCATGTTTTCATATACCTGTTGGTCATTTGTATGTCTTTCTTTGAGAAATGTCTGTTTAGGTCCTCAGCTCATTTTTTAATTGGGTTATTTGGGGTTTTCTGCTATTGAGTGTGTATATGACTTCCTGCTACATTTTGGATATTAACTCCTACTCAGATACATGGTTTGCAAATGTTTCTCCCATTGCATAGGTTGCCTTTTCACTCAGTTGATTATTTCCTTTGCTGTGTAGAAGCTTTTTAGTTTCATGCAGTCCCACTTGTCTATTTTTGCTTTTGTTGCCTGTGCTTTTGGTGTCATGTCTAAAAAATCATTGCCTAATGTTGAGAAGCTCTTTTCCTAAATTTCCTTCGAGTAGTTTTATGGTTTCAGGAGTTATGTTTAAGTCATTTTTGTTTGTTTGTTTTTGTGGTACGCAGGCCTCTCACTGTTGTGGCCTCTCCTGTTGCGGAGCACAGGCTCCGGATGCGCAGGCTCAGCAGCCATGGCTCACGGGCCCAGCCGCTCCGTGGCATGTGGAATCTTCCCGGACTGGGGCACGAACCCATGTCCCCTGCATCGGCAGGCGGACTCTCAACCACTGCACCACCAGGGAAGCCCTCCATTTCTTTTAATGGGAGAATTTGTTGGCATATAATTGTTCATAATAGTCTCTTATTATCCTTTTTATTTCTGAGGCATCCATTGTAATGTCTCCTTTTCATTTCTAATTTTGTTTATTTGATTCTTCTGTCTTCTTCTTAGTCTAGCTAACAGTTTGTCAATTTTGCTTATTCTTCCAAAAACCAACTCTTAATTTCGTTGTTTTTTTTCAATTGTTTTTGTATTTGCTGTTTGATTTATTTCTGTTCCAATCTCTATTATTTTCTTCCTTCTGCTGATTTTGGCCTAGTTCTTCTTCTTCTAGTTGTTTGAGATGTAAAGTTAAGTTGTTTATTTGAGGGTTTTTTTTTTAATGTAGGCGTTTATCATTATGAAATCTCCTGTTAATATTGCTTTTGGTGCATCCCATAAGTATTGATATGTTGTGTTATTGTTTTGTCTTGAGATACTTTTAAAATTCTCCTTTTTTTTTTAACATAACGAATGTTCAAGAGTATGTTGTTTAGTTTCCATGTGTTTGTGAATTTTCCTGTTTTCTTACTGTTAATGATTTCTAATTTTATTCCACTGTGATCAGAAAAGATACTTGGAATGGATTTTGATCTTCTCAAATTTAAGACTTTTTTGATGACTTATCACATAGAAGGTGACTTTTCTGTGATACACCATATGGTAGACATATGATCTATCCTGGAGAATGTTCCATGTGTGCCTGAGAAGAATGTGTATTCTTCTTCTATTGAGTGAAAAGTTCTGTATATGTCTATTAGGTCCATTTAACCTATGATGATGTTCACATCAACTGTTTCTTTATTGATTTTCTGTCTGGATATTCTATCCATTACGGAAAGTGAGGTACTGGAGTCTCCTACTATCATTGTAGTTTTGTCAGTTTGTCTCTTCAGGTCTGTTGATGTTCGCTTTGTATATTTAAGTGCTCTGATGTTGGGTACATATATACTTATTATATCTTCCTGTTGAATTGACTCTTTAGCATTATAGAATGACCTTCTTTGTCTCTAAAGACAGTTTTGACTTAAAGTCTATTTTATCTGATATAAGTTTAGCCACCCCTGCTTTCTTTTGGTTACTCTTTGGTGTATCTGTTTCATCCTTTTACTTTCAGTCTACATGCGTCCTTAAATCTACAGTGAGTCTCTTACAGATGTATCACTGGATTTAAAAAAATTTGTTTAGCCACTCTGTGCCTTTTTATTGGAGAGTTTAATCCATTTACATTTAAGTAATTATTGATAGGTGTGGAATTACTGTTGTCATTCTGTTGATTGTTTTCTGTTTTAGTTGTGTTGTACCTTTCTTCCTCTCTTGTCTTCTTTTGTTATTTGATGTTTTTTATAGTGATTTTAAAAATTCTTCTCCCTTTATCTTTTGATGGTGTTCCATAAATCTTATGGCCTTTCTTCACCCTCTTTCATTCTTTTCTCTTTTCACTGGATAATTTAAAATGATGTCTTTGAGTTCATTGGTTTATTACTTTTGTTCCATTGAGTGTGCTGTTGAAGCGATTACATTTTTCATTTCATTCATTGTGTTCTTCAGCTCTAGAATTTTTTTGGTTCTTTCCTTATGACTTCTATCTCTTTATTGAACTTCTCATTTTATTCATGTAATATTTTCCTGATTTTTTTGAGTTATCTATCTGTGTTGTCTTGTAGTTTGCTTTGCTTCTTTAAAACAGTTATTCTGAATTCTTTGTCAGGTAGTTCATAGATCTCCAGTTCTTTGGGGACAGTTACTGGAAATTTGTAGTATTCCTTTGATGGTGTCATGTTTCCTTGATTTTTTGTGTTCCTTGTAGCCCTTCGTTGGTGTTTGTGCATTGAAGGAGCAGTGACCTCTTTCAGAGTTTTTGGACTAGCTCTGGTGGGTATAAACCTTGACCTACTGGTGGATGTGAGGATGCTGGCTGGGTGGCATATGTGGTGGTGCCAGGTGTAGTGCTGGGTCTAGCAGCTCTGGCTTGGTTGGGGGGCAGTGATGCTTCTGGTTCCAAGAAAGGGCACAGTGGCCTGGGCTCCAGGCAGCTCCATCAGCTCAGGTAGGTGTAGACATTAGCAAAGACTGTCAGTGTCCTTGGAGGTGAAAGCTGATGGTGTCCATGGTAGTGATGAGGGCTGTTGAGGTCCTTGGTGGTGAAGGCTGCTGGTATCTTACTGCTCTCCTTTTCTCCCATTTGGGGGGAGTTGTTGCTGAGGGCATTTCTTTTGGCGCCAAGCTGTATGAACCTAGAGGATTGAATGACACAGGTGAAATGCTTCCTATACTTTTCTATTCAGACATCCTTGTTTTTTTGTGCTCTACTGGGTTGCTACAGCTTCTTAATAGTACTCCAGAGCTCTTCCAGAACTATTTTCATTTGTAGGTACTTGTTAAATCATGTGGGGGTGTGGGAAGGCTGGGACCTCCTGGTCTACCATCTTTCTGATGTCACTCCCATGAATTCTTTATATTTCTCTGAAATAAGCCCTTTTTGTTTGTGTTCTGGGCTTCAGATTGTTTCTTCAGTTTGTCATTTGTATTTTGATTTTGTTTTTTTGGCTTTTTGTTTAACATTTGCTATAAATTATGTATTTTTCTTTTACGGCTTTTGGAGTTTGTCATGGTTAGAAAGGCATTCACAACTGCAAAGTTATAAAAAGGATTTGCCAATGTTTCTTTTATTACATCTAAGTACTCAAATTTTACATTAGATCTTTGATCATTTGAAGTTTATCTTTGTAACAGTATGAGATATGGATCTAAGTCTATATTTTTTCAGGTTGTTATTCAGTTTTCTTAACACTATTTAGATTCTCCTCATTTGAGATATTAAGCAATTTTTATTTTGGATTTCATTTGTTACTTTGATGTAACAAAGTGAATAAAAATTAAGTACAACAAAATGTCAATGAGTTCCAAGAAGAATGTTTTTAATAAAAATTGAGACATGGATTCCATGCCTCAATTTGGTTGATTAGAGGCTGGAAGATATTAGTGATATAGTAAAGAAACCTTATATCTTGTTTCTTCAACAACAACAGCAACAAAGCAGTAAGTGATTAGAAACTCCAGAGAAAACAGATTACCGTATAACTAAGGCATAAAGTAAATTAAAATTTGGGATGGTTTTGAGCAATTGATGGGTTAAAACAAGAAAAGATATTTAGGTCCTGACCCTAGTAAAATCATCCTTCATGTAGCACATTGGACCTATACGAAGGAAATGTGGTATTAACATCCTGTTGGGCTTTGCATTAAATAATATCTATATTGATTGTAATGACATAAACACTGTTGACTTCCAGTTTTTAGAATTAACCTATAAGCAAAGCATGGGAGACTTAATTATGGTTACAGAACAAAACTTAAATGTTACTAACCTTGTTGATGAAAAAGTAAAGGTGCAGTGAGATGAAGTTGATGGTGA